CTGATACAATAATATTAAGTCAACTTGTATTTATGTCGCATAAAATTTCTAAATTTTTATAACATTAATATAATAGCCATATTAATAAAAATATATATTATTTAAATAATTATGTGTTTCACTAAGTGCATTGTAATGAATCACATACTAATAACAAAACACAGAAATGTTACATAAAACACGATGTTATATCACAAAAATGAGATGAACCTTCCATTACTGCAACCATATTTTTGTTTATGTCACTCACAGCAGGTAATTCTCTTTTATTAATTAATCAAAATTTATAGTTGATCTACAGACACATCTCTAGCTTGGTTCCTTAGCGAAACAAATATACTTACTCCATCACGTACGATCCTATCAGTACAGTTTTGCAATGGATATTTCATAATTTTCACAAATATTATCCAAATTACTGTAAATTTAGCGAACATCATCTCGATAACTGTAAATATCTTCGAGAAATGACAACAATACTTTTGGAACTGAAGTCTAACTCTTAATATCAAGAAAATATATATATAAATATGTAATACAATAAATACAATAAATGACAACAATAAATACATACAATGAATAAATACAATAAATAAATACAATAAGTAAAATAAATACAAAAAAAGATATAGTCATATCGAGTATATGATTCTTTATGTGCAAAAATTATTTTATTGTATACTGATACTAATCTTTTTCTTTTAACAAACGCAAACTTTTCCTTGTGCTATTCAAATTTGATTTAATGTAATAAAATTAGTTAAGCGGTAATTTTTCGCTACAAATAACAAAATTGTCTAAGAAGCTCACATGAAATTTTCTGTGTTTCTGTTTCAGCTTCCATTACGTCAGTAGGAAACTATTATAACTAAAAAAAGGAGTTCACGTAGTTCGTAGTTTTTATCGGTACTCCACGGCTGACAGAATTTCAGAATTTTAGCGAATAGACGCCGGAACCACTGGCTACGAACTGCTCAGAAAACAGCCCCTCCCCCTAACACTACTTCCGTCGTATTTCGAGACTGGCGGGCTTCCACGGACCACAGCACGTTGCATCGCTTGGTCATTGGCCGTATTGTGCCATCTGCTACTGTGAAAGTAAGGCCTGTTACTCTATTTCGACACGCGAACCCGAGGGCTATAATTTTTAAAAGTTACTTCGTTTTTTTCTGGATATTTCGAACATACCGAAGGATACATTTCCATCGTGCACCGACAGAACAGATGCTATCAGTTAATATGTTGCATTTGTTAACAAATGCTATCAACATATTGTTGACCACATGCAATACTTTTGAATTATTATATCCATTGTTTTTATAGAACTGTTTAATATATATGTTATATTACAATAATAGTTGTCGATTCGAATTTTACTTCACAAAACTCGTAGCTAGAGATTTATCATAATTTATTTTACATAAATATTTGAAAACTACTAGAACCTACACAAAGTATATGACTCCGGATGATATTAAAAATCGAAACAAATGAAAATTTCTGAAAACGTATTAACACTAGATTTACGGGACCCATCGAAATGACGGGCCACTAATTTTTTCATTTACGATTATTCATGTCGTAAAAATACATTTGTGAGTTATTTATTCAATTTATACGTTACTTACGACAAATGTTACAATAATACTTGTTAAAAATCAGAATAAATGTTTTATTGTTACTTTTATAAACTAATATAAAACAGCTGTTTTTTTGTGCTCCATAAAATTTAGTGTTAACGTGGAGCGAGAATTTTCCATCTGAGAAAATTCGTTCAGCGATGGAACAATTATAGAAATATATTACGGCAATTGGAAGCATATCTCAAGAAGATCTGCTAAAATCATCATTAATCTTACGCTGTTCGTTCCCTGTTCTCGATGGTTAAGATTAACGCTGCATCGTTTACTATGACAACGTGTTGTCACAATAAAAGTATTAAAAGCAGTTCGCGTTTCCGTGTAGAAACAAATATACTTCCCCGTGGACAGAGAGTAGCTTGGACACGCCTACCGGCTGGCCTTATTTCGGTCAAAGACGCTCGGACGGCTTCAGATATTCACGACTAGCCATTTTCTAAATTCTTCGCATTTCCCCGAGCGAGCGTGGCAAAACTCCGGTAACACACGACGATACCCGAGTCTCGCCATAATATTCGAACACTTTGCGAGTCGACAGTTCCCCCGCGAAAGTAATCCAACTACGAGATCAAAATTCCACGCGACTTCTAGTAACGAATTTACGTGGAAAAAATCGATGCGCGTAACGAATAGAAAACGCGACATTTCGCGTGGACGTCAACGTCAATTAAAATCCGGCCAAGAGTTCGATACTCCGGCGTTCGATGAACCGGCCAGAAATACGAGATCCCCGAGAGGGCACGAGCGAATAAAGAATTTAGGAACGTCGCGGTTCCAGCCGATCGATAAACAGAAATTCGGCAAATCTTACATAATTGACGAGCGCACAACGGCCGGGAGTCGAGCGAATCCGATCACGACGGTACTCAAACGATTCGAAAACGTCGCACGCAGGCCAGCAGCCGTCTGCCCCATCGGACACAATGACACAACGAGACCTATCAGAATGATCGCCGCTAATCATTTGGTTCCGTCTCGGGCGGGAAGATAGATGCACGCGAAGCAGTCGTCCGACATATCGATCCGCCGCGCGCCGTTGGCTCGTGGAAATTCGCGAAACGCGCGAATCATTCGACGAGAGGGAAAAAAGGAAAGCGAGAGAAAATAGGAGAAGCAGGCCGAGAGGGGGGAGGGGGATGGGGATGATCCGCAGGAAAGAGAACGAGAGAAAGGGAGAGTGGGAGAGAAAGAAAGAGAGAGAGAGAGAAAGAGAGAGCGCGAGACCAAGATCGATCTTTCGTCCTGCTTCACGTGGTTTCTATTGATTTACTACGACGCTTCGTTTTCCCGAAAGAATCGCTTCGACGACGGTGCCTCGCAGCGAAAAGTTCACTGNTATAAAACAGCTGTTTTTTTGTGCTCCATAAAATTTAGTGTTAACGTGGAGCGAGAATTTTCCATCTGAGAAAATTCGTTCAGCGATGGAACAATTATAGAAATATATTACGGCAATTGGAAGCATATCTCAAGAAGATCTGCTAAAATCATCATTAATCTTACGCTGTTCGTTCCCTGTTCTCGATGGTTAAGATTAACGCTGCATCGTTTACTATGACAACGTGTTGTCACAATAAAAGTATTAAAAGCAGTTCGCGTTTCCGTGTAGAAACAAATATACTTCCCCGTGGACAGAGAGTAGCTTGGACACGCCTACCGGCTGGCCTTATTTCGGTCAAAGACGCTCGGACGGCTTCAGATATTCACGACTAGCCATTTTCTAAATTCTTCGCATTTCCCCGAGCGAGCGTGGCAAAACTCCGGTAACACACGACGATACCCGAGTCTCGCCATAATATTCGAACACTTTGCGAGTCGACAGTTCCCCCGCGAAAGTAATCCAACTACGAGATCAAAATTCCACGCGACTTCTAGTAACGAATTTACGTGGAAAAAATCGATGCGCGTAACGAATAGAAAACGCGACATTTCGCGTGGACGTCAACGTCAATTAAAATCCGGCCAAGAGTTCGATACTCCGGCGTTCGATGAACCGGCCAGAAATACGAGATCCCCGAGAGGGCACGAGCGAATAAAGAATTTAGGAACGTCGCGGTTCCAGCCGATCGATAAACAGAAATTCGGCAAATCTTACATAATTGACGAGCGCACAACGGCCGGGAGTCGAGCGAATCCGATCACGACGGTACTCAAACGATTCGAAAACGTCGCACGCAGGCCAGCAGCCGTCTGCCCCATCGGACACAATGACACAACGAGACCTATCAGAATGATCGCCGCTAATCATTTGGTTCCGTCTCGGGCGGGAAGATAGATGCACGCGAAGCAGTCGTCCGACATATCGATCCGCCGCGCGCCGTTGGCTCGTGGAAATTCGCGAAACGCGCGAATCATTCGACGAGAGGGAAAAAAGGAAAGCGAGAGAAAATAGGAGAAGCAGGCCGAGAGGGGGGAGGGGGATGGGGATGATCCGCAGGAAAGAGAACGAGAGAAAGGGAGAGTGGGAGAGAAAGAAAGAGAGAGAGAGAGAAAGAGAGAGCGCGAGACCAAGATCGATCTTTCGTCCTGCTTCACGTGGTTTCTATTGATTTACTACGACGCTTCGTTTTCCCGAAAGAATCGCTTCGACGACGGTGCCTCGCAGCGAAAAGTTCACTGATCGATCGATCCACTGTCAGTCGGAATCTCGCACGCAGCCCTTGTGTCTCGTGTATAGTCACGTTGCCACTGCAACAGTCTACTCAGCCAGTTCAGTGACACGGCGATACACACTATAACGACGTATGGCTTTAGCCAGGCTTCAGGGTGCCGACTGCCAACACCGGTTGTTTCCGGTTGTGCCCCCAAAGAGCACACCACTCGATTGCCGTAATATGCTTACGGAATTGCGTGACTTCGCAGTCCCGCAACTATTTACGTTTCATTACCGTCGCGCGAACAGGAGAGAAAGAATTCACCGCAGCCCCGAGGACGGTCCGAGGGGTAACACCCCAGCAGAAAAAGACGACGCTTGCCGCTTCCTCTCTGTGTCGCGCGGAAAGCAACGAAGACGAAACGACCCCGGAGGTCCCAACGAGGGACGGAGACTCGACACGTTCGTCAAACTGTGTCAAAAAGATCGCGTTGAGCTCGTGTCGCCGTCAGAGGGTGGCCGCCGAGTACCAAGGACACGCAAGCGAGAAAGAAAAATGGTAAAATAAAGAGAACGGTGGACAGGAGGCGAAGGGGTGGAAAAACGAGCAGGTCGCAGGCCGCAGGGCGTACGGGCTACATCCGTGGCTCCTTACTTCGGCAAAATCAATAACCTGTTTGGGGGTGTAGGAGAGAACCTAAGGAGAGAGGCCATAGCATGGCACCGCCGCACTAGGTGCTACCGAGCCAGGTGTGTTATAAAATACGTACGGGTTTCCAGGTGGCGAGTATCCGAAGATGTCTTTGCGCCGTGGAGCTGCTAATCGCCGAATTTTTCGCTGCGGAGAATAATTGGCGGAACCACTCCCGGAAACTTCTCTTGGCACCTGTGCCGAGTACCCTTCGGCGAACGAGTTTGCCCGTTTTACAGTCCGATCAGTTCGAACGGATCGTTTCAGTCGGATGTGATCGAACGCAACCACGACACAAGACGGACCGTACACTGTCTACTATGCCGGGTTGGACGTTCGAGAACTTAGCCCTGTCACAGGCACACTACGCACCGGTACATCGACGAATTTTCATTGAGCGTAACTGAAAATCCTCGACGATGACAACGACACTGACAACGAGGATGTTCCTTCTCAGTGATGTTGCCTCCTGTCTTCGCCACCTCGCGGCTCGGTACGGCCAGGTTTTCTTTATCCGAATCGCGCGCTCTTCTCTTCCCGACCGGAAAGCGAGAAGACGTGCCACCCCAACCCCGGGGTGGTTCGTGTTCAAGAACTTCCGATCGTTCGGGTCCGATGGTTCCCGTAGCCGGACTCGTTTCGCGATTTTTCTGTCAGACGGAAGCTTCTCTGCAGCGAGAGGGAGCGAGAAGACGGAGAAGCGCAGACAGCAGCGCGACAACGACACGCGTTTCGAGTTGACGCGGCTGTGGGGCGCGGACCACTACCTCGACGAGCCTCCCGGATCGTTGGATAAAACTTGGTGGGGCCGTTCCGGTCGGCGTGCAAACTCCCCACTCTCTCTTTGCCCCTACCATCTACACTCGACCGATGTTCCATTCCCTCTCCAACCTTACCCTCTCGCTCGTCTTTCCTCTCTTTCCGACCAATCGCACCCCCGCCTTTCCTCCCCACCCCAGCAGTCCAGACGCCGCTCCGCGCCGCTCCGAGTCGCGCCGAACCCGCGTCGTCATCATCATCCCTCGACCCTGCAGGGTGCGCGACGCGCGAGCGCATGTCCTGTGCTCTGATACGCTCTGCTCACTGCTCTGCTCTGCTCTGCTCTGCTCTACTCTTGCCCTGCTCTGTTTCCGCTCTGCTTTGATCTGTTCTACTCTGCTCCGATCTCTTTCGATCTGCTCTGATTTCCTTTGCTGTGCTCGGATTAGAGTTGTGATTTATGAGATTCGCGGGTAAACGAAAATTACCGGTGTATCTCGTGAGTAGACTGCGAATTTGATGCATTTACGGGGAGAATGTATAGGTGGAGCATGGGACAATGAAAAAATTAAAAGAAACTAACAATGTGAGCATGTTAACTAAAACTTATTAAAACTGATGCAAACGATGTTTATTTTTCATAAAGATCTGCAGTCTACTCACGAGTTAGTCGATTTTACCGGAATATTCGATTATCTGTTACAAAAGTTGAACTGCAAAATATGTTCACGTTTGTGGAACATAAAATACTTGTTTATTTTTTTATTACTTCGGATCCGTATTTCTCTAGTCTGAGATTTTTACAACCATGAAATTTAAACGATATCCGATATCCTTCGATGTTTTAAAAAGCCAGGTGATCAATGATGTAAATAATAATTCGTTGTATTTAAATTTATTATTTTTATTATTATTACGACTGTCGTTAAATTAAATTTGATAACAAGTAAAACGAATCCGAGATGTTAAACAGATATGATAAAAGATATATATTGTTCGTTCCATCCCTATTATTTATTTATTTATTTAGTTAATTTTCCCATGTATACGCTTTAGTTCACGTAAAAATTTATAAAATATTATGATCTCTACCATAGAACCATTTTGCAAAGCTTAGATCCACGCGTAGACTCATTTTCTTCGGTGAGACCCGAAGTACTTTAATTGTAAAAAAAAATTAATGAAAATAGTTATTATCTGTGAGATACTCGGCTGCACGGCTGTCTCATCTTTATACAAAATAAAAGTTGTCTCCATCGTTTTCGAAAAACAGAAATCATATATAAATTTCTCCTTCTTTCTTAAATTTCTTCAATAGGATCAATTTAATACGTTGACGTATTATTAATACGTAATTTTGCTCATAAATGCATAAAATCCGCGGTCTACTCGTGAGAAACCTCTTCGATGTCCTCTGCCGTGCACTGCCGTGCGCTTCGGTCATGCACGCGGTTCGACGTCGTCAACGTCGATGGAGCGCGTCACTCGATCCACCGTGAGCGATTAGGGTTGGAGATTATGATGATGCCGCGTCCCGAGTCTCGGGCCACGAGGAGGCGGCTTCGGGCCCCGTGCGGCGTGCGCCATGCGTCCAACAAAGAATCACCGTCTGACCCTGGTACGTTAATCGCTCGTGAAGAATTATGTAAATCAGGGTGGGAGCCACGATCAGGGTTCGTGAGCCGGTTCAGGTGTTTTACGATTGCCGTGTCACATTCATGATGATCGAGATTAGACTGTAAAAGATTTCAGGTTGTTACTCGTGAAATATCGGTCGGCCGTGATAAGGGCGGCGAAGGAACGGAGATTGACATTCCCACACTGCTCGATACAATCTTCGCCGCTGACTATAAAACTTGAATTTCAGTGCCAGGCGGGGTTAATTTTTATGCTTGAGGTTTCACTGAAATGCGCGATAACGGACCTTTTATTGCAGATCTATTGATTTTTCCAATATCATACGTCCATGTTGCGAGTAGAAATATGAGAGAAGTCGAGAAGCATTTTATGATAGCTGGGTTCTCGAAACAAATGCTTTATGCAGACTGCTGATCGCGAAATTATTAAAATGAACAATGTTATTAAGACCTTTGCACTGGGACAATTTCTTTAAATTAGCTATCAACATTTTCAATGTATTTATTCCTGAAGTAGTAATTAACTTTTTCAACAAAATATACAGGGTGAGTCATTTAAGTCTTTCACTCTAACTTTACTTGTAAACTACATGTTGCATAAAAATATGTTTTAACCGAAACTTGTGCAACTTGGCAATAATTGATTTTTTGTTATTTTCCTGTTTTGCTAAAATATCATGGTTACTTTGAGTATTTTTTTAACCATAATGTGAAACATTTAATCATGCTATTCAAAAGTCTATTAAATACAGAATACAAAATGATTAAAGTGTTCTTCCGTTTCAGAAATTAATGTTTGTCGAGGTACTCTTTATTTGATTTTTAATGCAAAAAATGTTAAAAATGTTCTTCACCATAAACGATCAAGCAATGCGTGTGATACATGCATAAGCGTTTCATATTTTGTCAAGTAGTCTTCATATTTTGATAAAGAAGGAAGATAGCAAAAAATTAATTGTTGCGGTGTATGTTTCTTTTTATGTCAAGCAACTTTTGTTGGAAAAATTTCTTTGTGCAACATGTACTTTATGAGAAAAATTCAGGTGAAGGCGTTAAGTTATTCACACTGTATATTATGTATATTAAATGTATTTACATTATATAGAATTTGCTATAAAATTGTATTGATACAGATCATACGAAATAAAAATTGTTAATTCTAGAAGTACTATAATTATCAGCAGCCTTGTTATGTCCCCAGAGTGGAGACATCCGAGTGCAAAGAGTTAAGAATGTTATTTTCATATTAATTTGTATCATTGAACCGTTTCGTAATACGGTATTTTGTAGGAATCGGCATTTCTATGGTGTTTGGGTTATGAGGACGAAGAGAGAATTAATTGTCGGTCGACCGAGACAGCTTAATTGGTTGGAGCAGAACCCAGCAAGTGAAAGACCCGGGTTCGACTCCTTTTTTTCCTACAATTTAGACCTTTTCTTTCGGATATTCGTAATACAAAGGTTTACGTCTTTATTTGTAATATACACTACTTGAACGAAAACTACTTTCCTTTGCTACGAATTGGGCAGAAAATCCACGGCCCTTGTGTGATTCCTGATATGTTTTTTAAATACGTGAAACATGATATGAAATGCATGGAAACTCAGAATCAAACACAGAAAAAGTAACAGAAGTAATCGAAAAACTACAAAAACTGATTCCTAAATAATAAATTCAAGAGGTAATTTAAAAACGCGGTAGATATATCAATGAAAATAATATTTAGTTTTCTTTTACGTTGTGATAATAATAACGTCAATTTATATTACATATTATATATAATATGGAATATATTGTATATTAAATATATATATTATATATATTTATATAATATATAATATAAATTGACGTTATTATTATCACATATATACATACAGAGTGTCTCACCACATATTATCATTTAGATTTACGCCACTGTTATTACGCGTGATGAAAAACGTTTTAGATAAAAATGAATGGTTTCGAGAGTTATACAATTAATTTATGTTAAAAGTTTAGGAGATATTTTAATTTTAATGTTGTTAGGAAATTTTTATGTTATGTATGTATTTGATATTTGTTTCTATTTTTTTCAGACTTTTATTTGTTGTGTTCTGCCATTTAATTATGAAAAAATTTACGCTAGAACAACATCTACAAATTATTCACATTTATTTTCAAAGATAGCGCAACATCTCATACAGCGACTGAAGCAATCAATTTACTCAATCTAAATTTCGTCGGAATGTTAGTTGGCCGTCCCGTTCATACGATTTAACGTAACGCCCTTAGACTTTTTCTCTCTAGGATTACGTTAAATTTTATGCCAACAAACCACAAAATTTAGGTGACTTGAGAAATAATACTGAAACCACTATTCGTGATGTTTGAGCTAATTTGTGTGATGAAATCATGGAAAATTTGGTTCAAACGGATCCATTCTTGCAAACGCAGCCATGGTGGACATTTGAACGATATTGTGTTGAATCATTAATCGCATTAACTATACTTGAAACTCATATAAATAATAAATCATTGACATCTCACATATTTTTTGCTTTATTGAATAAAATTTTTGTAGCGAATTTAACGGAACACCTTGTATTATTGAAATAGTTGTAGAATTTTTCAATGTAAAAACTATTATTATGATATCGATTATTTTAATACTGCTCCTTTTAATCGAATTTTTCAATAGAATTGTCTTGAACTTTTGATCCTCTTAGCGATAAGCCGGAGAAATTGGATAAACTCGTGTATTATTTCTTCTTTTATTATATTTGTAGAATATTACAATCAATTCTCAAGTAAAATTTTCGGTATGGCCAAAATGTGCTTGGACAAAAGTATGAAATATTTGTATTATTGAAATTTATTGTTTAAGTCTATTGTACATATGATATCTTTAAGTCTGCACAACTGTAATCCTATCTATATTTTAGAGTTTGACAATGAGTAACCAGGGGCTTGGTACGCCACGTCAAAGGTTTGTTCAAATGTTTGCTGAAGTCAGCAAATTCTTTTTTGATTATCAATATTTTAGAAAATGGTAAAAATTGATTTTAGTATATTATCATAGAATCGAAAAAATAATGAATAATCCCCAAAATCATTTAAAATATGGAAGCATCAAGTATTTGAATTCGTAAGGACTCTGTTCCCATAAAAAATGTCCAAAAACTTAACTCACAAAAAATGTCCAAAAAAGTTAATTCACCCAAAAAAGCACACACACACACACATTTCGCGCGCGTGCGCGAAGATATTAATCCAAAAAAATTATTCACACCAAAAAGCATTCAAATGTTGTTAATAAACCCTTAAAAAAACCTTCGAATATTTGTAAAATTCGGGTGTCCGACTTTACTGTCTGGTCAGAATATCGAAAAATTGTAATATTCACGT